CCTTGCCCAACTTCTGAGGTTTTTGCATGGCACAAACCTTCTGCTAGCAAGTCCACCTCCACAGCCTTGAGGATTAGAAACTAAACAACAACAAATGCAAAACAAAACAAACAGAAATCCAGGCTGTTGAATTCAACACGATTCCAAAATACAATGTTTGTGCAACGGCAGAAAATAAGAGTCTGGTCCATAGCTCCCTCTCCCTCTCTGAGAGCAAGAGAAGAAGGTATCTTTAATAAAGAAAACATGTTCACTAAACCATACAATGAAAAACAGGTATGTAAGTTGTGTACGAGTTTCACTCTTCTTGGTAACTATTTATGCCTGCATGCCAAGAGTGTAGACCTCCAGATGTTGTTGGACTCCAACTCCCATCAGCCCATCCTGCGCAGCACATGGCCAGGGATGATGGGAGTTGTAGTCCAACACCAATTGGAGGACCACAGGCTTCTCCATCCTGGCTGTATGTGGAGGTCTTAGTTTCATTTTAAGGTCCCTGCCCTATATAGCAAACCATACTGTTAAGAATAGGGTAGAGAACATCTTTGTGATTCTTGAACCTTTCCTTGAAGGGGGACTCATTGTTTTGGCAGCAGGTCTTTGTCCAGTGGGCCATTTTGCAAGATGGAGGGACTGATGGGGAAACCATGTCACAGACCTAGGCAATGGCAGGACTTGCCAGGCAGTTGCCACTGGCTTGTCCACACTTCTCCTTGTCGTGCTTGCTACCCGTGACTCTTCTGAATATGGCTGAATTTACACACGAAAAATCCTATGCGCGTGTGCCAAAAGGGAGCAACCGCTTCTCAGATAAGCTCTGAGAACCGATCACACATTTCTGAACTATGTACATAGGACTAACTTCCTGCATGTAAGACATAATGTACAGTAATTTGGACAGGCTGTTCCCACACAGAGGCATGAAGAAGCATGATAGACCAGATCAGCATTGTCTATGCTGACCCTTGAAGGCAGAGGCCGATGTCTTGCGGTTGCTTAGCAACAGCAAAGTGCTTCCTTCTAGGCCTTATGACTCACCAAGCTGAACAGGGCCTACCTACTATATATAGTTGCCAGGAATTTGATAACTCTTGCCTTCCATCTTTTTGCCTTATCGCGGGTCTAGTAGGTTGGTTGCAATATATGGCTGCTCAGCATTTAGTTGGGGTGTGTGTCTCAAACTAATAGGGGCCTGCTTCCTTCTGTCCCTAGCAAAGTAAGAGGCTGGGCCTGAGGTGGGGACAAAGGAGTCCACGTTGGCAAGGTGGCAAAGATATTGCAGGAGAAAACCAAGACAAGCTTTTCCTAAACAAACCTCAGGGAAGTTTTGCCTCCATGTTGGATTTAAGGAATTGAGGAACCAGGCCCAAAGTGGAAGAATTTGTGGGCAAGGAAGACCTGTTGCTAAGTAGCCCTGAGCTCCCTAAGGATGGGCCATGATGTTCCTCAAGCTATCTTCAAGCCACTTAACCATCCTTCTTCCGGCGAGTTTCCCAAACTTAAGTCTCCAGCTGTTTTTGGAATACATCTCCCATCATCCCTAGCTAGCAGGACCAGTGGTCAGCGATGAGAGTCCAAAAACAGCTGGAGATCCATTTGGGAAAGCCTGTTCTTCAGGGAGGCCGTACCCAGAAAGGAGGTTGTAAAGGGTGGGGGGAAGATATTGTTTCAAAGCTGGGCTGGGTCCCAGAAAACTGTGTGGTGATGGAAGGAATCCTAGAGACTCCAGCGAGGAGACAAGATTATGAGCAGGCTTAATTGGCTAATTAGTGGAAAATTAAAAACAGGGCTGCATCTGGAAACCACACAAAGCATACTCAAGCTCCACTGAAGCATGGTTAGGTCGGCAAGTATGCACACTCGTGGTGCCAGAGGCACCTCAGCTTTCATTTTTCAAAAGGGCCACTAGTCCTCCTGGCTGCAGAAAAGTGTTTGCAAATGGGCATCGTCTGCTGATGAAGGCTCAGAAGCCAGCAGGAAGCCTTTCAGAGACCAGGAGATGGCACTTTGATGATCTGTAGCTGGACCCCATGAATCTTCCTCCTAATCACCTAAGTGCTTCTGCTATCCCTGCAGGACTCTGCACCATTATATCAGAGCACAGCAAAGGGTATTTGCATATGAAGGGCAGGGAAATGCAAACCTGAAACTTCTGCCTTCTGATTTTGGTGGGGTCACGGCCAGCTTTAAAGTGGAGGTTGCCTTCCTTCCCCACAGGGGGGGAAAACGGGTGGGGAGGGGTTGAGTGGAAAGTCCAGCAGCCCCTACAGGACCGTCTCTTTCTGCCTAATGGGTAGCTTCAGTCAGGTTGATCAGAATGAACCAAAACACAGCCAAGTAATGTGAACTATATGCAGATTATTAGGGTGATGTTAGGGTTGCCATACGTCCGGAATTTCCCGGATACAGCCTGAAAACTGCAGTCGGGAGCAGTTTCTGGCTGAAAATCACTAAAATATCCAGGAAAATCTGGATGTATGGCAAGCCATGTTGGCAGTGCTGTTTTGGGTGATTTTCCTTAAAAAATAGCTCAATAACTTCTGGGTGGGGTTTTTTGTGTGTTTTTTTGGCAACCCTAGGTAATGTGTGCGGTAAAAATGCATCTTGGTGGATAAAGCAGACAAAAATACATATTAGGGAAAGATGGTTGGCAAAAATGTGCCTGTTAAGGCAACATTGCATGGGGGGGGGAATTGGGAGAAATTTGCACTGAAATCCTGCTGATGAATTCTCATGAGGATTTTCGTTTTTAAGAGAATGCAAACCAATGAAGAAATGTGGAGATCTGAACTCAAGCCTGTGAAACTGAAATGACCATCCCTGCTGCAGAGGCTGTGGATTGTTCTGGATGTGCTCTAGCTGTAAACTTCAGCCCTCTCTCACTCAAGCAGTGAGCTCCCTAGTCACACTGGCTGCCTTTTCCAGGAAAGAGAATAGCCACTCAGAGAACAGCTCTGGGCGACTGATGAGCCTGCTGTCTTTCCAGCAGGCCTGACGAAAAAGGCTATATCGCCTGCTCTGAGTTACTTGGAGACAAACATAAGGCTCCATCCTTGTTCCGAGTTACTTGTTGGGGGGGCAGGGGGAGGCAGAGCAAATTTCCCTTCTATAAATTTGCAACTGTGCCTGTTTCCCAAGGAAAAGAGAGTGGGAATTAAGCTTCCTTGTCCAAAGCATAATGGTGCAGTGATGGCCAAACTTGGCCCTCTAGCTGTTTGGGGACTACAATTCCCATCATCCTTGATCACTGGTCCTGTTAGCTAGGGATGATGGGAGTTGAAGTCCCAAAACAGCTGGACGGCCAAGTTTGGCCATCACTGGGTTACAGCTTTGGAAAAGAATCCTGAAGAGAGAGAGTGGAGTGGGGGGGGAAGGAATTAGAATCATCACCTTTGCAAAACAAACAAGCTCTAGAAGAACACTTTGGGTGAGCTCTGGTGAATCTCTGCTTCCTACAGGATGAGGTGAGCAAACCGAAGAGAGTCACTTTCTTCATAGAATCATGTAGTTGGAAGGGATTCGGGGGGACATCTGGTCAGTGGCGGAGCTTCACGCTCCAGCACGGGGGGAGGGGGGGCGGAGAGCTGGCGGGGTCATGGCACACCACCCACAGGTGTGTGGTGCCCGTCCTGGGGGCGGGGCGCCCAGCGTGGGCAGTGGGGGCAGCCACGATGGCACCCTGGTAATTGGGCTGCCAGGGCGGTGCGCTCCCCCCACACTCCTCTTCCTCCGCCAGTGCATCTGGTCCAATGCCCTGCAATGAAGTAACGGGAGAAGAAGGAAAAGCCATTGGCAAGCCACCTGCCACTGGTCTCCTCTCAAAGCTACATTTTGGTGGGAGAATGTTCAGAAAATGCAAGAGTGAAGCGTATGCCTCTGCGTATGGGCGTGAGTGCACATTTACCTGACAATGCATCTATGGGATGGCCTCCTCCAACTCATAGGGGTATGGGAATCGGGAGCACGGGCTTGTATCTGAAGGCTTCCAAGGGCAACCTCCCTCGCTCCTCAACTGTTGGGCCCCCTTCTCCACAGGAAGCCATGGGGGGACTGCAAAGGGACCCTCCCATCAGTCCCCCCCCTAAGCCAAGAGGGCTGCTGCTGCACTGGAGGCCTCTGATGGAGGTGGGATATTAGATTCTGCTAAGCTGTGCTGTCAACTATTGCGCTCAAGGTCCTTTTTGTATCTTAAGGTTTTGCAGCAAACAGCCAGGAAATGAAGCAGCGAAGAAGCATTTTGGGCAGGGATTGGGGGGACGGGACACACACCCTATGAGAGCTCATGAGGATGCTGAGCTATGACTCCCATCATCCCTGGCCACTGGTGGGGCCAATTGTGGGATTCCCAAAACACGTGGGGGGCCACAGGTCTCTCTCTCCCCAGCTTTTCTCTCACAGGATCAGAGAAGCCCAGAGCAGTTCTGACTTCTGGAGGAGACGCAGAGCACTCTGAGTTCAGGTCTGTTTTTAGCTTTCACAGTTTCTACCCAAGGTTGTCCTTGTACAAGGGCCGAAAAAAGGAGAACAGGGCAGTGACAAGACAGATTTGGGCCTCACCTTGCGGCCACAACTGTTCCCATCACCCCTTTTCCCTGCCCGCCCTCTGTCCTCGCTACCTCCAGGTCCAAAACCAGGGACCACTGTGGCTGGGCAAAGCTGCGCAGGAAGAAGAGAGGCATTGTGGGTAAGGGAGACAGTGGTTAGCTGGACACACATGCACAAAGCAACTCTGTGATACCAGCAGGGCGGGAGGAGGTGGGGCCGCACTCTGCAGTTGCCTCTGCCACCCCACTTGCAAGGTCCTCCCAATGTCTCATTGCTTGTAGCCTGCGGCTGGAAGGAAAGCGTTGCCCGCTTCCTTCTGGAGGCAAAGGGAGGAAGAAAATAGAGGAAGGTAGGAAGGGCAGGTGCCTGACATTTTGTGTGTGTTGCGGGTTCTGTACAGCGGAGAAAGGGAGAGGGGAGAGAGGGAGGGATCAATCGATCGAAGGAAACTCAAGTAAAATTGTTATTGCCTTTATTCGGCCCATGCCTTCTTGCACGGTCCAGACGGCCAGTACACGCACTCGTACACATGCAAGCTCGCCACCTCCGTGAGGGAGCCTCCTGCCCTCTCGGCTCAGGGCTGCAGAGGCTTTCGGAAGAAAGCAAAACGAAACAGGGGGGCGGTGGGTGGGTGGGAAATTGAGGGAAGTGTTCCAGTCTTTTTGGCAGCGATCATAGCGTGTGTCAAGAAAAGGATCCGCAGAGATGGGCGTGCGGCTGACAGGGCCTGCTCCTTCCTGCATAAAACATGAGGTGGGGAGGAAGTCGTGGCGGGGGGTGTGGAGTGGGGGGGGGGTCTGAGATTGCAAGGCTCCTCCGCTCCGCCTCCCCTTTCTCTCGAATCCTGCTGCCTTTCAACGTCCGCCTGTCCGTGTGATCTCTGTGCAAACTCGCGCTGACGGGTCTCTGGAAACACCCACGGCTGCGATTGCAAGACGCGGAGCCGGGTCGCCCAACTCCTTTGCGTAGAAAACTCGCCGGTGCCGCCACCGGCTTTGTAGTTCCAGCGTTCAGGGTCCCAAATGGACCGGCCGCCATCTCTCCCTGCAGACGCCCCCTGCCGGCCCCGGGGAGCGGAGCTGGCCCTGGCGCAATCGTCTCTGGGCGTGTGGGGAAAACACCCGGCTGGATGCCCCTTTCCTGGGGAGGAGAGCGGCTCTGGCAGGTGCTTTTTCCATTTGCTTGTTGGCTGGGGATTCCTGTTCCTCTTGGGCAGCGTGGAGTTGGAGGAATCTTCCGCAGCGAGGGCTGAGATGCCCAAAGGACAACGATGGCACCGTTGGAGGGCAGTGGGGGAGAGCCTCAGTGAGAGGGGAGAGCTGGTGCCTCCATCCCCGCCCCATCCATAATGCGCCTTCAATATGAAGACTCCGCGTTGCTGGCACGCCATTGCGAGCACGCAACAGCGAAATTAAAAAAAGGGGGAAAGGGGGGAAAGAAGAAAAAGGCAGGGTTTCCTTCAGGCCTCTCCCCCCGCGTGCCGTTAATCTAGCTAGGACCACCCTAGTCCGTCCCGCCAGAGGTCTGTTGACAAGCCAATAGGCTCCACGCAAAAATATGGGGGTGGAGGGTTGTGGGGTGGAGAGAGAACGACACCTCTCCCCGCCCCACACTCAGGAAGCTGGGCAGCACCACAAACTAGAATCCCAGGGAGGTTCCCCCGTCGGGTCCATTCCAAGCCAGAGTCCTCAGCCGTCAAACCTGAACTGGCAACGTCTGGTTCATTTGTAACCTCATGTCCTGTATGCTGCTCAGAATCTTCTTCTGGTGTCCTGCTAGCGTCACTCCTATCCTGAGCAAGTCCCTGAAAAGACACAGGGAGCAAAGGCGTTAGCAACGCACAGAAAGGGGAACTCAGCTTTTGGGGGGTGTCAGTAAGCGCAGGAAAGGGAGTAAGTGCAGCTGACCCATGGAACTCCCTGCCACCAGATGCATCAATGGGAGGGCTGGTGGAGAGCAGTGTGTTTTTGCTCAGAGGCATGAGTTGCGTTCAGATCTCTCCCTGGCCATGAACTCACTAGGTGCCCTCAAAAAAGATGCAACGTGGGGGGTAATAATAATGACCTATATTAAAACACGGTGGTCAGAATCACTAACACACAAGGCGATCAGAGTTCTCAAACGCAATACAATTTTAAAGGCAAAAGTTCCACTGTGCAATCGTAAATCTTTGCCCTGATGGAACCACTAACTTAGCACTGTGTTGGATGGACACGACTCTATTTTTAGTGGTGTGAACTGACTTCCATTTAATGAATTGACTTTTTCAGCCACAGTCCTGCCTGCCTCCTTCAGATGACCTTCCTCCTCTCCACTTGACACTTGGGTTAGTGTCCCTGGACCTTAAGAATACAGAGTCTGTGTTTAAGCAGCTGGGGATTTTTTATTTATTTTTTGCTGGGTGGGAAGGTTCTGTGAACAGTCCACACACGGAAGACACCTCCCTGCACTGGACAGGACCATTCTCAAGCAGCAGTGCCATCAGAGGAGGCCTCTGGGGCAGGCGTTCAGAGGCCTCCACCTAGCAGAACAGAAAAGAGGGCCCTCGATGCAGCGGGCCTGGCTTGGCACATTCCGGAGAGAGTGACTCAATATACATGGCCCTCTGCAGAACACCCCACCCCCACCCCTGCAATAAGACATTTAAATCCAGAGCACCACTGTTCTCAAGCGAAGGCACGGGGGGGGGGGGGATTCTGAGTCCCTGGCCTAACAAAGGGGCAATTCAAAGTCTTTCTTTGCTTTTTTTTTTGGCAGTGATGAAGTCAGTACAAGAGGATTGACTTGATGGAATGCATGTCCCATGAAGGTCTCAGCAAATACTCAAGTGCCGGCTCGCCACATTTGGCAGCAGCAAGGATCTTTCGACTAGGGGCTGGCACCAGGAGATGGCGAGTTGTGACCCCGGACGATGAATCGCCTACAAAAGACTGTCATCTCCCCACCCACCCACCCACCCCTGCCTGGTAGGCTGGTGAGAATTTCATTCCACAGTCCAAATGCAAGGAATGAAGGGGAGCTCTCTGGACACAGAAGACCGCATGATGGAGATCAGGTGTGGATGATCAAAACCCAAAAATGTTGAAGGGAAATGTAGGGTTAGGCAAAGGCTCCACTTGGGGCAACACTCACATTTAAAGCAGTTGTGGCTTCCCCAAAAGAATCCTGGGAAGTGTAGTTTGTTAAGGTCATTGAGGGTTGCTAGGAGGCCCCTGTTCCTCTCACAGGGCTACAATTCCCAGAGTTCCCTGTGCAGAAGGATTGCCTGATAAACCACTCTGGGAACTGTGGTTCTGGGAAGTGAACAGGGTTTTTCTAACGGTTCTCAGAACCCTTTAAAAACTCCTGGAATTCTTTTAGGGCAGGGGTCTGCAACCTTTAAGACAAAAAGAGCCACTTGGACCCATTTCTGAAGGAAAAAAAACCTGGGAGCCGCAAAACCATTGTGACATTTAAAGCATGCGCGCCGCTGCCCTCCGATCTGACAGCGGGCGGGAAGGTGACGTTGGGACGGTGCGTGACTAACGCACGCACCGCCCCCATGCGATGTCACAGCCAGTACAGTGCCCGCCACAGTGGGGAGTGTCGGGGTGCACAATGCGCCTCCTCCCCTCGCTAGTATCCGCCCCGGAGCCGCGGCAAAGGTGTAAAAGAGCCACATGCGGCTCTGGAGCCGCGGGCTGCAGACCCCTGTTTTAGGGGAAGCCCTGGCTGTTTAAAGGGGTCTCACGGTGCTTTAAATGTATGGTGTGAATGTGGCCATAGTCCAGTGTCTGACAGTGGTCAGGCAGTTAAAGGTAAAGGGACCCCTGACCATTAGGTCCAGTTGTGACCGACTCTGGGGTTGCGGTGCTCATCTCACTTTATAGGCCAAGGGAGCTGGCGTACAGCTTCCAGGTCATGTGGCCAGCATGACTAAGTCACTTCTGGCGAACCAGAGCAGCACACGGAAACGCCGTTTACCTTCCCGCTGGAGCGGTACCTATCTATCTACTTGCACTTTGATGTGCTTCCGAACTGCTAGGTTGGCAGGAGCAGGGACTGAGCAACAGGAGCTCACCCCGTTGCGGGGATTCGAACCACCGACCTTCTGATCGGCAAGTCTTAGGCTCTGTGGTTTAACCCACAGCGCCACCCGCGTCCCTATGGCCAGGCAGTTACTGACGCTTAAAAGCTGCAAACACAGGGTACAAAAAAATTGGACAATTCCAGGAGTCTAATGTCAAAAGGGGATGGTGGAAGCCAGATTTTCAGAGCGCAAGGGAGTGGGCTTTGGTGCCCCACACTGTCTCCACCATTCCATAGGATTGGAAGAGCAATGCATAATAAACAGACATATTAAAATGGGCATGATTTTGAGAGGTCACAGAATCAAGGAGCTGGGAGGCCCTGGGTAGGCACTCTCTTGCTTAACAGCATCAAGAAGTCTCAACTGTATACCACGTCCAGCACACTCTGAACACATCCTAGCCAAAAGCAGGCATTAGGTTGCCCACCACAAATGGACCACGGAACTACAAGCCCATCTTTGTTCCCCTGTGGCTTGTAGCATCCCTGGTGAGGATGCTCCAGTTGTCTGGCTTATCTGGAAACGGCCCGGTCTCCTGGGGCCACTGCGTGCTTTGCCCCGCCCCTTTGTACTTACTCGGCTGTCATTTGGGCGACCAGGTCGAAGGAGGCGAATCCGGCGTTGACGAAGTTCTCCTTGTACCGCCCCATTTTGATGGCGTCGAGCCAGTCGCCCACAGTGGTGAAGGTGGTGTAATCCGGAACGGTGCGGTCCAGGAGGGGCTGGGAAACGCTGCGAAGGATGAGAGAGCCCAGAGGTCAGGCAAGGCTCAGGAGGGGGAGAGCGGGCTGCGTGTGGGGCTGAGCCGCAGGGGGGCAGTCCTGGCAGTCCTGTGTCGCGTGAGGAGGCTAAAGGCGGCTGTGCGCTTCCCTGTCCACCCTCTTTGCTCGTCGCTCCAGCCCCGGTTGCTGCCCGACTCCAGCCCCCAAGGCCATAGATAGATATATCCGAGGTTTGCTTATTTATCTTTCCTCCATGAGAGCTAGAAACTTGGCACAGTTAGTCCAGACACAGCAGGTTGCCTGTGCTTGGAGAGGGTGAGGGGGCGAACAGCACTGACCCAGATTGCACGCTGGCGATGACCTTCAGGCTGGCCGCGTTGCGGATCAGCTTGTCGAGCGTGTTCACGATCTGCGAGAACTTGGGCCGGAGGTTGCGGTCGCGCACCCAGCAGTCCAGCATGAGCTGGTGGAGTGCCGTGGGGCAGTCCATGGGTGGTGGAAGGCGGTAGTCTTGCTCCACAGCGTTGATCACCTAGTGAGAAACAGGGAAGGGGTCACGGAGGGGCACTTTTGCTCCTGCACCTCTCCTTCTCCTACACGGGAGGAGGCCGTACTTACATCCTGGTTGGACATATCCCAGTAAGGTCTTTCGCCGTAGGACATCACCTCCCACATGACGATCCCATAGCTCCACACGTCGCTGGCAGACGTGAACTTGCGGTAGGCGATGGCTTCCGGGGCCGTCCACCGGATCGGGATCTTGCCGCCCTGTGGGAAGAGACACTTGATACCGTTAATTAGCGCCAACCCCTTCAGGAGGGAGATGGAGTCAGCCTGATTATGCTGGGCTAATGAGAGTTGCATTCCGATTTATTTATTTTTAAACTGTAATGCATCAGGCTGTCCCAAGTTTTCAGACAAAGGGTCTCTACCTGGAGACACCATTGGGATTGAACCTGGAAGCCAAGCAGTGGCTCTAACCACTAGGCTATGGTCTCTTCCCAAAGATGTGGACCTCCCACTAGTTCTTCCCTCAGCATATTTTTTTTGTGCTCTTCTTAATTCTAGTTCTGGCCTCATCGGGGTAACTCTTCTTTCCCCGCAGGGTTTCCTTATAGCGTTCAAGTGGCCCTAGATATCTCTGTGCGGAGAGACCAGTACTTATACAGGGCTTCTCTGCCAGGCCACTGAGAGGGGAGGGACAGGGCATGGTGGCGAGGGTGTCACATACCAGCGAGCTGGTGTAGGTGGGGTCCGCGGGGTCATCCTCCAAGAAGCGTGAGAGCCCGAAGTCGGACACTTTGCACACCAGGTTGCTGTTGACCAAGATGTTGCGGGCCGCCAGGTCCCGGTGCACGTAGTTCATCTCGGACAGGTACTTCATGCCAGCGGCGATGCCGCGAAGCATGCCAACCAGCTGGATCACCGTGAACTGCCCGTCATTCAGCTGTTGGTGGAACAAGAAGAGGGGTCAGAAAGAATTGCTCAGGTTTGAAAAGATCAGCTCTCCATGTGCTGCTTCCCTGCCTATGCTTGCTGTGATGGCCTGGGACTCAGGCTCAGACTCGGAACCAGAGGAGACTCAGTCTGCACTGGATCCTTTGCCTCAGGCATCACCTGAACCAAGTCTGGGGCCTGATCCTGAAGAGTCCCAGTCTGCACAGGTTCCCCTGCAACAAGCACCAGCTGGGCCGAGTCAGGGGCCTGAGCCTTCCCTGGCTCCAGATGTGGGGATTACCTCTTTGCCTTCAGCTGGGCCATCACTTACAGCTGCTCCATTACTGGTTTGGTCAGGGGAGGCTGAGGTGGCCCCTGGGTCTAGTAACCCATCAACGTCTCCCAAGTTGCAGAGACTGAGGTCTGAGAGAAGGAGAGACCTGAGTACTCGCAGGAGGAGTGCTTGCCTTTGGGCAAAACAGGGAGGTGAGTTGCCGGGGGATCAGGACCGGCTGCTACCCTGACAAAGATAAAAGGCTGTTGGGGGTGCAAACATTGCTGTGTGCTAGATCCTGCACCTGTCCTTGTCTAGTTTCCTGCCTTGTGTCCTGCCTTGGCCCTGTCGGACTGACTCCTAGCAGAACCTTTGGATTCTGGTCCAGTCCTGGACAGCGTTTCGCGGGTTACCCCCGGGCCCAGCACACTTGCCATGGTGCGTGCATGTACACACACACAGGCACACGCAGCTTGTGCAATATGTAAGATGACAAGCAACCCCTGCCAAACACTGGAGCAACCCATCCACATTTGATGGGTTGAATATAGCTCAGATCATAGAATTGGAAGAGACCACAAGGATGAGTATATTTATAAAGCTTGAAGCGTTTCTGTTAGGGATGATAGGGGTTGAAATCCCCTCCTCCCCCCCCAAAAAATGTTAAAGTTGTCTATGTATGTACCAACAGCAGCTTGGATTCTATATGTGCAGAAATGGAAGGAAGAAGAAGCTCCAACCAAATGGATAAGAAAGATAATGGAGTATGCTGCTGGCAGTTCCCACACTGCGAGAAGCCAAGTTACAGGGAACCAGGCAGAGGGCCTTCTCGGTAGTGGCACCCGCCCTGTGGAACGGTAGTGACACCCTTCAGATGTCAAAGAGATAAACAACTACCAAACTTTAAGAAGACATCTGAAGGCAGCCCTGTTTAGGGAAGCTTTTAATGTTTGATGCATTACTGTATTTTAATATTTTGTTGAAAGCCGCCCAGAGTGGCTGGAGAAGGGGTATAAATAAATTGTTGTTGTTGTTGTTGTTGTTGTTATCTGCTTGAAAAGAGCCCAGGAAGCTCTTGGCATGACCAGGGAGTCCTGCTCACCCGCAGGAAGGAGTCGAGGGCGCAGTTCTCCATGAACTCCGTGACAATCATGACGGGTCGGCTCTTGGTGACCACCCCCTCCAGGTGAATGATGTTGGGGTGGTCAAACTGCCCCATGATGCTGGCCTCGCTCAGGAAGTCTCGCCTCTGCCGGTCCGTGTAGCCCACTTTCAGTGTTTTGATGGCCACAAAGATCTCCCTCCTGCCTGGAAGCTTGAGGCGACCCCGGCAGACTTCTCCGAATTCACCTGCGGAAGGGCAAGAAGGTCACATGACGGAAGTGAGTGGCCACACCCACCAAGAGCACTGTCAGACCCCGCCCCCTCTGTGGAAGGGAGGAGCTGGGCTACCATCAGGTGACTTGCCTGCTCCAATCACCTCCTCGATTTTCACGCACGAAATGTCGATTTCCTTGGCAAACTCCCGGACGGCTTCGTTGGGGTCCTCGTAAGTGAAAGGGTCGATATAAACCTTCATCCCTGGAGTGACTGCAAGGACGGAGAGGCGATGGATAAGGACACATGCTTTTATCAGACATATCTGGGGCTCATTTAAGTTTGACTCGCCTAGGTTCTTCTCGATTATCCCAGAGATTAGAATCATATAATTATAGAATTGTGGAGTTGGAAGGGACCACGAGGGTCATCTAGTCCAACCCCTTGCAATGCGGGATTCTTTTTGTCCAACGTGCATCTGGTGGCAAATTATGCAATTATTTCTTTTCTTTTTAAACTAAAAAGGCGGTCTTTACATGCCTTTAATTCACTGACACCCCAAAAGGAAAATTCTGTTCTGAATACTATGGACAGTTTTTCCTTATTACAATGAGGGCTAGAAACTTGTAATCTCTTTTGTCAACATGGAATGCAAAGGTTCTTGGGATTGGAAGAAGGCCGCCAGGAATTGCCATAAGGGAGCACAGTTGTGAGGATACATGATCCTCACCGCTATGTACCACCTTTCCATCAGAGAAAGAGGACGAAGAGGTTTACATGCAGCCTTTGGCAGCAGCTACAAGGGTGACTGCCGCCTTTGGGGCTGCTGAGCACACACAGGCATGCAGGCATCTCTGGGAAATAAATGCAGGCTTGAGAAAGCAGAACCCACAAAAACAACGTTCACATGCCTGTGTGACTCAGGTGCTCATGCCACCCCTGGCTTGATACTCACTGTATTGCTGCAGCTTCTCTGTATACTCTGAGTCTGTGTTGTTTTGTTGCTTCCTGCCCAAAGAGAAAAGAAGGCATCAAAGAGCCTGCAACGTTACGCGCAGGTTCCACCAAAACCTGAGCACTGGAACACTGAACACCACTGCACACAGAGAGCCGAAATATACTCCACCCATCCTCTTGGTCTGTTATCTATGCACAGTTATTATCATCCATGCACAGATAATAGCTGGAGAGTATTCAATCAGCCCTGGGGATACCATGAAGGCAGGGTGCTATAAAGGGCTTCTGTGCTTAAGCTGCATTCATTGCACCTCTGATTGAAGGGCCACAGTCTGCACTTTCTGCATTCTGCTTCCCTCTGACCTCGTGGCTTATAATTCCTTTCGCCTCCATGGATATACAGATATCTATACAGACACGGGCACCTGAGAATTGCACACCATGCATCTGATGAAGTGGAATCAAGTCCACGAAAGTTGGTGAGATGGGGGCACCTGCGGTCCTTCTAGAAGCGGTCAAACTGCAACGACTATTGACCCTAACCAGCATGAGTTAGAAACTCATATACAGTGGAACCTCGACTTACATACGCCTCGTCTCGTGGACGTTCCAAGTTGCATTTGCAGCAAACCCGGAAGTAAACACTGGGTTTGCCACGATTCGCGCATGCGGCTTCTGCCATCTGCGCGTGTGCAGAAGTGGCTGCCGCCGTCTGCGCATGCGCAGAAGCGCACTACCACCAAACGTGCACGTGCACAAGACGCCTCTTCTAGTGTCCCGTTTCGACCAGTGGATGGACCTCAGAATGGATGATGTCCATAAGTAGAGGTTCCACTGTATATATATAAGCTGATCACCAAATGGCACCTTAAGCCACAGTTGAGGTCGCCACAATGGAATGTCTAGGCACCTCCCCCCACCCCCGATGAGATCTTTCTTGCTGTTGGTTTCATTTCTATACCACTTTATATTTTAAAGAACAAATCTCAAAGCGGTTTACAATACATCAAAGCATCAAATAAAACCATCCAGAATAAAGCAAATGCAAGCTTTGAGAAAAATACTTCAAATCCTTCTCTAAGTGACGTTTTGCTTTCCCCAGTTGCCAACCTGGTATTCAGAGATCTCCATGCGGTTGCAATGGGACTCGCACCAGTTGCAAAATGCGCCTTGCGACTGGCTAATTTCCAGCACTGGATCCATGCTCAGGGACAATGCGAAATGGGAGTCCAACAACTTCTAGAAAGGCGAAGTCTCCCCATCCCTGACTTAAGTCATAATCAATCAGTTTTGGAGGTGCCACAAGACTTTTGCTTGTTCATGCAAGCCAGGGATAGCCAACGTGGTGCCCTCCAGACTCTGTGGATTACCACCCCTGACCACTGGCCATGCTAGGAGTTGAGACTCTAGCAACATCTGGAGGGATGGGAGCCGTAGGCTGAAACATCTGGACAGCACCACAAATTGTCTATCGCTAATATAGCCAGATCCAATCCTTGACAGAATGAATAGTCACGCCCCTACCTGGAGCTCAGGCTCTCCCTCGCCCCCACCAGTACCTGAAGCAGACAATGGCTATCACCACGACCGCGATCACGAAGACGAGGCCTGCGGTAGCCGAGCCCACGATAAGAGGCAGTTCCTGGAAGCTCTTGCTACTGGAGCCTGTTAGGAGAGGAAGAAGAGGGAGGAAGAGTGTTGGAAGGTGGGAGTGGAGAAGGAAGGGAGATGCTTGGACGGCAGAAGCCTGTGGGGAAGGGAGGGGAAGGTGCAGAGCTCATACCATCCTCCACTGGTGTCCGAAACTCCATGGGGAGGCTGTACATCCCATAGCCGGCCACCGTGCGAGCCCGGACCTGCACCATGTAGGCAGAGTTGGACTTCAGCCCTTCCAAGCGCACGTTGTTCTTCTGGCTGGTGACGGTGTTGGCGATGCCGTCGCTCTGCTCCTGCTGCAGGGAAAGAGAAAAGGGGCATCTCAGGGTCACATCCAGCCCTTCCCTGACTTGGATGGTTTTAAAAGAGGATTAGACTAATTCATGGAGGAACGGCAGTCAAAGGCCACTAGCCCTGATGGCTGTCTTCTGCTTCCACAGTTGGAGGCAGTAATGCTTATGAAGACCAGTTGCTGGAAACCGCAGGAAGGTAGAGTTGCTCTTGTGCTCGAATCCTGCTTCCTGGTTTCCCACAGGCACCTGGTTGGCCACTGTGAGAACAGGATGCTGGACTAAATGGGCCACTGGACTGATCCAACAAGTTCTTCTTGTGTTCCTAACACCTAGAGGGCCAAAGGTTCCCCACACCTGCTTTAGGCATCTCTACAAGAAGGGACAGGGACGCGGGTGGCACTGTGGGTTAAACCACAGAGCCTAGGACTTGCTGATCAGAAGGTTGGTGGTTCGAATCCCCGTGACAGGGTGAGCTCCCATTGCTCGGTCCTTGCTCCTGCCAACCTAGCAGTTCAAAAGCACTTCAAAGTGCAAGTAGATAAATAGGTACCGCTCTGGCGGGAAGGTAAATGGCGTTTCCGTGAGCTGCTCTGGTTCACCAGATGCGGCTTAGTCATGCTGGCCACAAGACCCGGAAGCTGTATGCCGGCTCCCTCGGCCAATAAAGCGAGATGAGTGCCGCAACCCCAGAGTCGGTCACGACTGGACCTAATGGTCAGGGGTCCCTTTACCTTTTACATTTACAAGAAAGGGACACACAGAGCAAGGGCATTCAAGGTCACCCCAGAATTCTCCTTTGCACAACTTTCTAGTGGTTTTCTCTAAAGAAAGGCAGCCTGGGAAGGCTGTGCATTGATAAGATACTTCCCCCCATTAAATAACCTGCATTCTCTCCTCCTTATCATAGCTAATCGTCATTATTTGTTGCTGCTGTTATTAACCGTTGCTCTGTACAGCACCTCTCATTGCTAAAGTGTTTTGTTATATATGGAATAGAATCCAGCACCCTCCAGATGATGATGTGCCCCAACTCCCACCGTCCATATTGGCTGGGGCTGGTGAGATTGGAGAGTCTCACAACGCCTGAAAGATTCCCCCATCACAACCACCCCTGTAAAGTATGCCAGCATCACCCCAGCCCCCCACCTTGCAGATAGGGTGGTGGCACAAACGGCGAGATTTGAACGGAGGTCTTCCTGTTTGGCTGGCTCACCTGCTTGGTTCCCCAGTAGAATTCAGCACACTACCTAATTCCCCTCCCAGCGGGAAAAGAAGAGTGCCGAGTGTTTGTCAAGCTGAAGTGTGCCCGCCACGTCCCTGCCAGAGGATTAGCTTTACCTTCTCAAAATACTTTATCTCGTAGTCCAGGATGATCCCATTGGGCTGTTTCGGAGGCTCCCAGGAAAGAGTCATGCTGCTTCCCGTGCTGCCGTGCAGATGCATTGTGGGAACTGCTGAAGGAGCTGCGGAACGGGGGGGGGGGGGGAGAGAAGAAGCGTCAGCCTCCCTCTTTATCAGCAGAAATAACAACTTATTTGGCTCCCTTGACAGACAACTCGAGGGATGAACCTGTGAGTCGCTGAGGTCCTCAATGCAACACCCAAAGACACCTTGGTGCCTCTGCCCCTACCCCATATTTCTCTTGGGGTCCATCAGGGCTCCCCATCACTCCTGATTTTCAAAACGCTTTTCACAAAGATTGTTATTGTCTCTCTCTCTCTCTTTTTAAGGAGCCAGCAGCAGCTGGGCTGGCAGGAAAGAGAAGTGCAGGCTTCCAGCTTCCTTTCCTTTCTCTAGGGCAGCAGTTCTCAACCTGTGGGTCCCCAGATGTTGTTGGACTACAACTCCCATCAGCCCTGAGCTCTGGCCTTGCTAGCTAGGGGTGATGGGAGTTGTAGTCCAACAACATCTGGGGACCCACAGGTTGAGAAAGGCTGCTCTAGGATCTTCTGGGCCTGATCTGGGTGCTCAAAGGAAGGAAAGCAGCCTGGTCTTCCAGCTCCCATCCAAAACATTCAAGTAAGAGGGGGAAAGGCAAACGTGCAGGTGCTTTGTAAGTTTGAGGAATAGCCATTTCCTTGGATGCATTATTGTTTCTGAGGAGGGGGGCCACCCTGGTGCTTTTGGGGTGCTTTCCCTGTATTTTGGGCAGTTGGTTTTTTTTGGAAGACCGGGGTTCACCTGCAAATTTATTGTGTGTGTTTGCGCTGCCTTTTTTGGGGGTGAATGTTGCCTGTCTATTTCGCCTGTGTTTTGCTTGTTTTGTGGGTTTAAATGTCTGAGAATCACCAGTATTTCTTATGTGAATTGTTTTCTCCAGCATGAATGTTAGATTTTCCAAATGTGTTCCTTGGCCCCCAAAAGGGTGGGGCTCCTTGCCCAGATTCTTACTGCCATTTTCTAAGATTTCCAGGACTCAAATAAAGCTGGAGGCACAACGAAACATTAGCAAGACCACTAAAAATGGCTCAAATCCACTGGAGAGCCAACTGGCGTTCCATTCGCTGTGTCAAACAGGTCACTGTGAAAGGCATGATAGGCGCCAACGTGTCTGCTAAGACACTGGAATGCAGGACCTGAGCTGGAAGATCCAGTCCATCATCCGGAATGGAAACCCTTTTCGCTTCCTCTATTGCATATCCTTACAGTAGCAGCCTTCTGGAAAGGTTGGTAGCCCTTCACCAAGCTCCACCAGCAATTTCCCACCAGTCACATTGGAACAGCCATCTTTGGGGCAACATGGAATGATGCCCACTATCAGGGCCGGCTCAAAGCATTTTGGCACCTGAGGCAAACCACAAAATGGTGCCCCCTTGCCAGGGAAGAAGAGGGGAGTGAATATCTATGCCATGAGCAAAGGGGGGGGAATGAAAATCAACACTGGTAACAGAGGGTGGGAGGAGACCAGCAGTGCCTCCTATTCACCGCGAGGCCGCTGTGGAGGCAGCATTTGGGGAGAGGGTTGCTGAGGAGACAGCAGGTCTGGCAGCAGAAGTGAGCAATGTGTTCTTGGATGCCGGATCTGCCATCCCCGTGGATCTTGCTGCCTGTGGCAGTTGCTTCACCTTGTCTCATGGATGAGCTGGCCCTGGCCATCCTGACTCCACAACAGGAGCTCCCAATCTTTGGAGGTCAGGGGTCCCACATTTGTATTTCTGAATGAGTGTTGGAGCCACTCATCTGGTCGCTCCCCTTCCTCGTATCACTCTCCTCCCGTCCCAAGAGACAGGAGAGAAAGAGTGTGTGCACATACTTTGCTCTCCCATGAGATCTGGGTAAAAGGAGAATCGATCTGAGCGTGGAAAAGGGCATAGAGATGGAAGAAGTCGGAAAGAACATCTCTCTTCCAAACTTCCTCCTTCAGCTCTAGAAAGGTGGATCCAAGGTCTGGGGAGCCTGGAAGGCCATCACACTGGCTCATTTCATCGAAGGAGGGGAAATGCGTACAAACTCATTAAAAACAAACAAACCTCAGGCAAGATTTTAGAAATAAAGGACGTAGTTACCGTAAGGCTCCTTCCCAATTCTTTAAGCAAGAACCACCAACACCATTTACGTTCTGTACAGCAGCAACCTTAAATCCTTGGCTAGATGCACAACCAGACGCCCAACACACTCACAGGAATCCATGGCAGCTCCAGGACTCCAAGTTCAAGGCCTGTTTGGCATGAAAGGGCCTCAATCCCAAAGGTTCCTGCTCCACCGCTGGCTCGGCAGAGATTGCCAGGGAGAGCCTAGGCAGCTGCCCTCCCTTTCCCATGAAGCACTCACCTGCCTGGTTGGTGGTGATGTTGACAGAGGCAAACTGGGGGTTCTGGAGGCTCTTGCTTGAGACCCCGTTGACGGCCTGGATCTCGAAGGTGTATTGCGTGTGAGCCATGAGGTTGCTGATGTAAATGTGCCTCTCGGTCAGGCCGAGTTGGCGGGGGACAAACTCCACATTGTCGTCGCAGCGCATGCACAGCCGGCGCTCCACGCTGCACTTCTTGCAGATGACGTTGTAGAGCAGGTCGTCCCGGCCCCCAGAGTCGCGGGGCTCGCTCCACTCCAGCACCAGGGATGTTTCGTTCACGTTGGATATGACGTTGCGCGGGGCCGACGGGACACCTGCCGCGGGATCAAAAGAGGCTCAAGGCCCCGAAAGAACCCCCAAAACCTTACCCTCAAAGCTGGGCTTTCCCCAGAGCCTTTTGCCACCCCCTCTCCAAAAATAAAATAAAATGATGATTGGCATTTACACAAAGGCATGTGAGTCTTTGACGAGTTTTGCATACAAGTTTCTCTAGTCATCTTTACAACCACCTCGTATTGGAGGATGCAGAGGTAACACTTTTAGGTGTGGCGGTTTGAGTGGGTACAATGCAAATGTACCCTTTTCTCTCCCGAACCAAGCTCTGAAAAAAAGAAGACTGGTTCTGCAAGTCTGCAGCATGGTTTAGTCCGAGCCAGGGTAAAGCTGGCTGCAGAGGACACCAATTGGCTAGTACCTGTGACATCAGAAACCACTGGCTGGGTAGAGCAGAGGTTCCTGGCAGGAAGGTTGCTATTGCTCACGGGGAGGGAGATGGGGAAGGAAATTGGTGTGGGGCATAAACATCGGCAGAAGCACAGGATTGGTTCTGCCAGTGCGTTTACACCACACCAACCTCCCGGCTACCTTTCCTTCCAGTAAGCAACAGCATCCCAAAGTTAGCGTAGAGGCTCCACCCCACCCCAAAAGCCATTTCTGTGTGGCGTCACCAGCATTCCTCTTCTCCCATCTTCCCAATTCCCGAAGCAGCTTTGCAAATCTTTTGTAGATTGTTAGTTTCGTCAACAAAGCAATGGGCGGAAGTATAAATGCATTCATGTGCTACCTCAGAGGATCATCTCACTGGCCTTGGTACCCTCAAGCTAGAGTGGAATAATAAGCCCAAAATAAACACATTTTGAAGTGAAACCAAAACGCCAAGCAGCAGAAGGGCAGACTTACTGGTGCAGGCACTGTCGGGTGGATCGGTGTCTGACCGGAAATAGTTGCTCTGGCACATGCAGAGAGTAGCTGCCCCGGAGCTTGTCCGACTGTTGGGAGGGCAAGGGGTGCACTGACTTTCCCCCTGCTTTGACTTGAAGGTGCCCGGTCCACAGGCTAGAAAGGGGGGGGGAGGAGAGAGAGGAGGTCTCAGTTACTGGCACACAACAAGAGATCCAGTTTAGCCCCATTACACGCAAACGCAGAGCTGGTACACATGCGCAAAAAACCAAATTGCTTCATATTTCAGCCTACTTTTTTGTTGCAACACCTCACCCAAACGAATGCCCTCGCCAGGCTGGGCAATAACAAGCAAATCCTAAAATTAACAATCACTGTGGCATGTTGGCCACAGCATGGAGCGATGGCTTGCATATTATTATTGTCATCCCAGGACAGGCTGCAACAACATGAAAACACAAGGCTGGGATCAGTTAAAGCAATTTATATGCAGAAGAATATGGTGTTGTGAGACACAGACAAGCACACCCTGATCTTTATCTAGATAAATGAACCATCACAGAGCAAACACTGGTGGCGCAAATTCTGGGTTGCCTCCAGCACCTGAAGTCAGGTTCCTAATGGTGGCTGGAAAAGGGCCTTGGTGGTGATCTGTATCTTCCTCTTACCTTTTTAGCTGCGACCTGATTCGCAGTCCTAATGGAGGCAACAACTGAAACTCTACTGCTGGGTACCATCCTCCCCCCCACCCCGAGTGAGAACATGAAGACCTTGCCCTCGTTCTGAACTAGCTTTGGCCATAGCCAAATCTCACTGGCTACTGTGGTGTCATAATAAAGCCAAATCAGAGCGAGGGTGGTGCTTTCTGTCCACAGCATCACCCCAGCTAGGAGAACCAATGGTGAACAATATTGGGAGTTGCGGTCCAACGACATCTAGAGAGCCACAGGTTCCCCATCCCTGATTTAGGCACTCCAGCCTGACATTCAAGGCTGCTCCATTCCTCTCACTCTCATTTCTCCCAGAGTCCCCTTCCTTCTTCCTTTGATTTCCAATCACTTCCAATGTCCATGAATGCAGGGAGGATGGCACTGACGTGGATGTGGATGAAGACGCCAGATCCGAGAGAGGTTCAACGAGGGAGGGCTGTGGCCCTGGGCAAAGTTTGCTTCCCTCTCTCTCTCTCTCTCTCTCTCTCTCTCTCTCTCTCTCAGATCCAAGTCTCCTGCCCCTTAAATGGGAGCTAGGATACAGCCATGTATCACATGTATACATGTACATGTATACATATACATACATATACACATATATGTATGTATACATATACATATACATGTATACATGTCTCTGCATATGTATACATGTATGTATACATGTACCATGTATTCACAGGCATGTGTGAACCCAAAACAGGGGAGAAATTGCAAAGCACTTTCCAAATTTAAATTGTCAGCAGGTCAACCTAACCAAGCTCTTTCTCTTCCACAATGATTTGAACAGTAGTGCATTTTTAAAAAATATATAAACCACCAACTCGGAGGGAGAAATCCACGACAGCGTACAGTAAAAACATTAAAACGTCACAAAATAATAATTTAAAAGCCCATAAATTTACACCCCACCGTCCAGCCATGGTCAGCTTCGACTTGGTGGGCGGCTTATGGTGGAATCTGCGTCCTGAGGGCTTTGGAACTCCCCCCAGGCCGTGCGGGAACATTTCCCCCCATCTTTTCTTCCCAGAGCCCCAGAGGCGGTGCTGCCAGGAGGCTCCTGCCTGCTGAGTTTCCCCCCACGTCTTCTCAAACTACCGCAGGAATCCCGGGAGAAGAGCGAGAAGCATCTCGCTCTGGGATTCCTGCTGACCTCGGAGCTGCCTCCGTGGACCAGACTGACAGTTGCTGAGCAGTCGGGCTGCGAGAGCCAAGACATTTTTTCCTTTCCACCCTCCAGTCCCCGGGGGCCTGGAACAACCGACCACGTCCCAGGCCGCGTTCGCCTGGAGGGCTGACTGAGCCGTTTTCCACACAACTCCTTTCTTTCCTCTCTCCTGCTCCTGGATTTGGTATTTATTATTGATTATGGTTATTATTACTACTTCAAATAAATACAGGGAAGAAAGAAAAATATGCAAGAGTGGGAGAGAACGGGGGAAAAAAGGAGAGGGACAGGCCGAAAACACGAACCTTTTGATCTAATAACTTCATGGCTGCCAGCTTTGATTGATTCCCAACCATACGCACCAGCTTCTAGCAACTGAAGCAGTTTCAGGCCCCCCATTTTTAAATATATATATACATATTTTTATGGAGCCAGGCCCCCTCAATGTTCAGATGGTGTTCAGTTCTGTCCCCTGGCTTCTCACAACGTCACATGTGACATCAGGAAATCGCACTGGGGCCCCTCAATCAAATTGATTGGGGAAACCCACCCAGATGGGTGGGGTATGTATGAATAAATAAATAAATAAATAAATAAATAAATAAATAATAATAATAATAATAATAATTGAACCATAGAACCATAGAGTTGGAGGGGACCCTGAGCACTATCTAGTCCAACCCCCTGCAATGCAGGAATACGCAGCTGCCCCATGCAGGAATCGAACCTGCAACCTTGGTGTTATCAGCATTGCGCTCTACCCAACCAAGCTATCCACATGGCTCCTCTGTTCTCAACAAAAAAACGTTGAATGCAGGTTAAAAAATTGGTCCCAACGAATCAACAGGACTGAGACTGGAGAACAAATGGTCATTGCAGAAAGAGGATCCCCGTGATATATGTACACACACAGAGAGAGAGAGAGAGTCCCAGATTTGAAATGCACAGAGCTGATCAGAAAACGAGTTGCCAGAATCCTGGACTGCACATCCAAGGGGAGAGGAGAGGGCTGGAGTCTTTATTTGACGCCACATCTAAAACAATTCCATTGATGGAGTGAACTAGCACACCTGGCTAGATCTGAGATAAAAACAGCCGAGATTGGGATTTTGGAAATGTTCCTGAGTGCATGGGAGTGAATTCACTGCCTTGTTTTACCTTTGGTAGCGAAGGCTGGTGGACACAGGAGTCTGCCTTGAACTGAACCAGACCACCAGTCCAACACACTCAGTATTGCCTTTTTAATAGTATTAGTATTAGTAGTATACCGCCCTTTACCCATAGATCTCAGGGCAGCTCACAACATAAAATTTCAATATAAAAAACACAAAATACGTAACAAAAATATGCCTTCCCTAACGGGCACCAGCTCCTAGTTTGGTTCACATCAAAATGGGAAGTACCTGGGTACTTTATTAAATACTGGGGACATGGAAAGGAAAGTTATTGTTGAGGGAAAGAGATGGCTGTGCAGGGTGGGAAGATAAGAGCTGCAAGGACTAAGCCTCCCCTCTCCCCAAGATGGGCTCATTCTCCCCTTGAGTGTATTTGTAGGCTCTCCCTCTCTGCCGCCCTGAGAACTAGATGCTTTCCCCTTGTTTTCCTAAACGTTTAAGCTTCTGCAAAGATGCAGCAGATCCTGCGCTGCAAGTTCCGATTTCAAAACCTGTCGTGCTTTTAAGTGCAGGCTTCCCAGACTCCCATCCTGTGGCCACAGCAAAAAACCCAACCCACCCAGGGCAGGACATGAGTACACAGCAGTAAACAGGAGGGGCGGAGGAATCCTCCCCACGCGTGGTCAGGCTCAGGGGCCCAGCCCTAGTGCGCCGACCCCGGCAATGACTGCCGAGGCAAAGCCCTCTTCATCCTGCCTAACCACAGAGAAGTGCCACAGGAATTTGGAGTGCGACAGGAAACTGCCAGGACTGCACCGAAACCGGAGTGGGTGGAATCCAGAGGCAGCAAACGCCGTCCTTGCCCTCTTGCCAAGCTCAAATCAGATGAATAATTTCCATATCCCCCTACCCTGCCAGATTTCTGGCAAATATTTAACAGAGCCTTTTGACTTTTCCATGTTCCCTTTCCAGTTGTTTGGTGAGGAAGGAAGGAAAGTGATTAGAAGCACAATCCATCATCTCTTCCCAGGCTCCCCTAGACCTCAGCCCTGCTCTAACTTCGAGGTGCATGAATCCTATTTCATGAATAACATTGTAAGACGCCAGGCTCTATGTGCAACCTCCTCGCTTCAGAAATTTATGCCTGCAGCATCTCACCATCCTGTAGTGGCCTGTGCTGCTATCGTGTATCTTGCATTTTCATGCCTGGATAGCTCAGTTGGTTAGAGCGTGGCACTGATAATGCCAAGGTTGCAGGTTCAATCCCCGAATGGGACACCTGCATATTCCTGCATCGTGGGGGGTTGGACTAGATGTTCCTCAGGGTCCCTTCCAACTTTACAATTCTGTAATTTCATGATTCTGTAGATATGAGATCTACAAACAACGACAACAACCACCATCTTGGCTAGTCTGTGCTAGAGAGGTATCCCTTTCTAGAGTTGCACCTTATTTACCCTGGGCTGTGCCCAAATCCCGGAAATGTCTTAATGTGTCAACTTGTGTTTGTTTGTTTCTTCTTGCTTCCTGGGCACATGATGTCTGCTGAATGTGAGGGAAAAGCATTCATGGCATTGATTCACCCTGGATGTGCAAATCGTGGCTTTTCACCGCATGGTTATTACCCCATTGCAGCTACAACATCTCCCAAAGTGGGTTAGCCAATTACGGCGCAGTAAATGTGGGACAACCTTCAATCTGGAGGAAACAGGGAATTCTTCGTCACAGTGGTGTGGCTGTCAAGGTGCCTTCCTTCCAGATCTGGGCTCCACTGCCCCGAGAAGCCGTGGGCTGAGAGGGTCCCCAGAATATATGATGGCCTCACGGCATCTGGGGGACTTCAGCACCCAAACACCCCTTCCCGGAAGCCCATTGGTTTCTCTTGACCTTGGAAAAAGGGCTGGCCCAGACCTTCTGGATCAGGTCTGGGATCTGCTTGGGCAACAACCAACGCTGACCTTGTCTCCTCTGACCGTCTGCCTGACTTCCCTCAGGCTCTGTTCCCAGCCATTCGCGTTTCCTTCTTCCCACCTTGCTGGCATTCCAGACTATTTACAGCCCAGGCTGTCAGCAATAATTAACTTCTGGAATCCATTGCCACAAGATGTAGTCAAGGCCCTGGTGGCTCAGCCGGCTTTTTTTTTTAATTTAAAGGATTAGGCA